GAATTTTCTAATTTCTTTGAGACATTTTATTTACAGGAGGTAAACAAAGCGAATAGAGCGAAGTTCGTATGTCACAATCAGGACTCATGGCATTGAGGCGCGCATAATTCGAACACACTGGACACACTGGCATTGAATGACTATCCTTGAAGCCAAACTGTACAGTCAAACAATTTCATTCGAGTGCAAAACCAAAGAATAATGATGAAAGACATATATTTACATAATCAAGCTTCATTCAGTGTAGTGTAAGGTGGTTTTATTTGTTAATATCAAGAATTATGTTTACCGATAAAGTATGCTCGATTTCGACACATTTTCAAATTTTACAAAGTTTGCGCGCTTGTCATTTTTGTCAAATGGTAGAACAGAAAGATATTATTGGCGATTTGTGTTGACTAATGTTAGTAGTTTATAGAAAAGTTAAAGTCATGTGCCAATCAAGTGCCACGATTTTGAAATAAGCTTTCGAATTTGACATATTTTGAGACGGTATCCTTTATCCGTTCAGGAGGGTCAATAACTGCGCTGTTTTCTATTTTATACCAAAGAATAATGAACTAAGTCATATCACCAGCGAAAATAGAAGGATAAGTCTATATTTCTGAGCAAAAATTTTGAAATTTAGGTATGAATTTGATTTAAAAAATAGCGCTGAAAATATGTCGATATTGGCCTTCATTCGGAGTTATTTGTATCAAGTTGGTTACCAGTCGATCGAACATCAACCGCCCCCAAAAATAATTTAAAGGAAATTTGAGTGAAATGACATCGATTTTACTTGTTCCCAAGGATAGATCTTCAAAATACTAGAGTATGAAAGAAATCTATTTTTGAGCCCCATACTGACCTGGAGGTTTTTACGGAGACAGCCTCTTAAGCAATGTGAATGACGTTGCAGTGTCCACACACTTGATGCCTCCAGCCAATGAAAATATAGGTTACAAAACAATCATGCATGTCTTTACATGTATTTCCTGAATTTGCTTTACATCATAAATATTATTTAGAATTTCAAATTAGACAATTTGTGACTGAACACCGCTCATGTGAAGCGGTAATCATTGTGACACGATCACTCTACTTTTAATTTATTTTATTTTAAAAATCAACACAAATTAAATAACTTCTAATGCAATAATAAGCAGTTTCGGAAATATGTTTTGTAGGTATGCTATTCTGCATCCTACGTGCTTCCATTCAACATAAATTTTGACCACGAACGCTGCGCAAAAAGTTCATTTAAATAAGGAAGCCCCTAGGCGGTATTTAACGGAGAGGGTTACAGTTTTCGAAGTCTGGACTGCAGGATATTAGTCGAGTGCTATTTTCTTTTGTATATGGGCCGAATCGATGCATGTTATACAAACGAATAAAGAACGATATCAATACCCTAGCTACTCTCCAGACGGAACGAGTTAAGTCAATAAGTTATCAATTTGATATTTGTGATGTTACTCTGAGTGTATATCCACACCGGGCGAGCTTGAAAAATATGCCCGGCCACGGTGGGATTCGAACCTACGACCTTTGCAATACTAGCCCAATGCTCTTCCAACTGAGCTACGCGGTCAGGACGGTTCGAGTAAGTGATATTTCGGAACAGTATCTAGTTCCTTCGACACCAATGTATTCTAGTAATATGATTTTTTCTGTTTTGGTGTCGTGTACTCAGGTGAATATGATATTTGTGATGTTACTCTAAGTGTATATCCACACCGGGTGAGCTTGAAAAATATGCCCGGCCACGGTAGGATTCGAACCTACGACCTTTGGAATACTAGCCCAATGCTCTTCCAACTGAGCTACGCGGTCAGGACGGTTCGAGTAAGTGATATTTCGGAACAGAATCTAGTTCCTTCGATACCAATGTATTCTTAGCCTGCGTAGCAGGCCCTTCCATTTTTCCTCGCTCTCGCCTTCGCATTCCCCCCTAGCTTTTCCCACCCTCGCCCTCCCCCCTAAATAGCGCCTGCTACGCAGGCTAATGTATTCTAGTAATATGATTTTTTCTGTGTTGGTGTTGTGTACTCAGGTGAATATGATATTTGTGATGTTACTCTGAGTGTATATCCACACAACATCACAAATATCCTATTCACCTGAGTACACAACACCAACACAGAAAAAAAGTTATCAATTTATTATACGGAGTGGCTAGAAACAAGAAGAGAAAAACAATGTTTATCAACAAGTTTTTTGCAATAATATTTCAGCATTTGAACACGCAGGATTTTAAGCTTCTCTATAACAATTTTCAACAAAGATGAAATGGTAGCAACATATTTTCAGATATTCGTCCTCGAACCAACGGCACAAAGCGCCGTTCCGGGCATGAGCCTGGGGATAGGATATTTACTCCGCTCGACTATTTTCATCCGGGGATATTTTCACGCGCACCCTATTTTCACGCGCGTGGCTATGATTCATGGTTTTCGTGGTGTCATGGGCGGTTAAGGCTATTTCAGATACGTTAGAGCACCTTGTCACCAGACTTTTTCTGGCACGGCCACATAATTCAATATAGCGCCTGGCAAGGAGTGGAAGTATTTCTTCTCTATTTTTCGAAATTTTTTTGTTGTTATAAATACAAGAAATGACAGGATACGCCTGCAGGTATCTTAGTTTTATCTGAAAAAAGACTTTGACACAGATAAGAAATTTTCTCAGTCATAGTAGAGCACGGATTTGAACAAACTACGCGACCGGACTATCTTTAGCATGATACCTAGACATCGGCAAAATATTTGAAAAATTGTTTCACACAATGAGCTTTGACGCAACGTTGTTTGAAGAAATGAGCAGAATTGTTTACTATGGGAAATCGTACTATAGGACAAGTTTCCTTCGAAAGACTAACTAATGTTTATGACTTCTGTTTCTCCATTTTTTTGCGTAAAACATCCACTGCTTTCCTGTTGAATGCTTTAAATTCTCTAAATTACCATGTTTAATTTAATTGTAAATTGTAAAGCATAGCAAATTAATTTGAAGACTAATTAAAATTGAAATATTACTCAACAATTTGATTAAGTAAAAACAGTTTGTCGGCATAAACAATTTAGTTGAGATCGAATGAACATTACAAAATATTTTGCGAAATGTTTCAGATTAAATAGTTTGGCATTAAGGCAATGCTCATGCACAAAATGCAAAATAACATACAGTACCTAGCCTCCTCGGGAGGCATCTCACCCGAGGAATCGGGTGGTGGGAAAATGTTTGATGAGATACCTGCCATAAAGCAACACAAAAATTTGCACTGCGCATACCGGCTCGCGCATGCAAATTTCGACAAAGCTCAAACTTAGGGGGAGTAGGAAGGGCTTACGGCAAGGAGTGAAGAAATTTTTGTTTTGAACACTATATATTATAAGTGTGAGTATTTGTATATGTTATGTTATGAGCAATAAGTATTATTCGAACTATCAATATAATTATACGCTTTCGAAAGTAGTTCGTTTTTCCTGATCGAAATACATAATTAAAGCCAGAACCTGTAACAGGTAACCTAAAAACAATGTATTAATTTCAACCACTTTTTAATACTTGAATTCGTCGATCTTCTCATTAGCCGGTTTACATGCTGATGTATAGTCTGGCAAATGACGACAGAAATTCCATTTTGCCTCCTGGTCGGAGCTTAGTATGTGGTAAGCAGGGTTGAACATGCGCTCAAATTACTGGAATGAACCATCCAATAATGATTTCTTTCGCCTTGCGATTTTGCGAAGGGTTTGCATGCATTGCAAAATCGTTGATACATGATCAACATCTTCGTTTTATTTGTGAACGAACATAAAAATGTATTGCTTGCCTATATTACTTTGTTTTCCTTTTCCATGCAGCGGTTCGTAATAATCACAATTTTTATCAGCCTGCAAATTCTGAGGATGTTGTGTTTTCGTGGCGTTGTTGAGCTGACAGTTGGTAGAAGGATGTTGACGTTTTCTCGATTTGTAATTTATTGATTTACAGTCAAAAGGTTTTCTGAGACAGTACAAAGAACATTCCAAGAAATTCAGTGTGTTGTGTTCACTGATTACCTGGCCGCTTAGACGGTAACCTACAAAAAATTTTAAGAAAATATCAGAGATGCAAGTGGAAAATGGGGAGAAAACTCTGATATTTACCTCAATCGCGTGTGAAAAGTGTGAACAGCGCATGGTTCTCCCTATGTTCCATGCAATAAAGCTGGAACATCGAATTTTATAGATCTCATAAAGTTATCCATGCAGCTAAATACAGTTTGTTTAGTTTATAGGTTCCGGTTTAAAACCGAACAGAGACCACGGAGCTGTTGGATGGGGGAAGGAGTAATGCCAGCATTTTTGCATTCCATGCATAAAGATAAAATCGCTCCTTGAATTCGAAATCCAGATTGTTTGTCGTGTCTCGCATGCATCATTCCCAGTATTGATTTGAGGTCGTTTCGTATATTTACTTGTTTGCCTAATAGAAACTGCTTCGTATACGATTAATTTTATCATAAATGGGAAATAGTAAAAAATAAAATTAAATTTTTGTGCACACCATGCATAATCTATTGACCAGGCATTCGGGCCAGATACCTTGTACTACTCTGCTACATATTAACCTCAATATATATATATATATATATATATATATATATATATATATATATATATATATATATATATATATATATATATATATATATATATATATACCGGGTGGCGCAAAAAAAAGTTAACCTGTTTGATTTATTTTAACTTAAAAACTAAAAGAGCTATTACAACTAAACTACGTACATTGCATTCAGTATTGTCTAACTTAAATTTTGATATACGCCCTGTGCAATTTCGTACTATATTCACCGAGAGAGCTGCGTTTAAACTTGAATAAACATTTTGGGAAGTGTCGAGAATTAGCTAAAAACGGCCTGTTAAACTATTTTGATAACCCTTACCATTTTATCGTAAATATTCGTTTCAATGTTTTTCTCCTTTAAGTCCTCATTCTCTCTGTTAAGTTCATACTTTTCCTTCTTAAGGTCATTAACAGTTTCCTCAAGTATCAGTATACCGTAAGCAGCATTTTCTTTATTCTCCTTTATCGTTGAAATTTCTTCCGCTCGAGCATCTAGCTTTCTAGTAACATTTTGTGAATAATTTTCCAACTTAGAGTTCATTTCATAAAATTCTGGGGATTTATTGTAGTTTACGTCGTTTGTGTTGGTTGAGTAACTTTGACCATTTATCCGAGTCATTTCATTGTTCACGCTACAGTTTCGTGACCTCAAATGCAAATTTCTATCTGTTGACTCCAAAATATTTGCAAAATGATATTACTTTCCTAACTGTGTTTATATCCTAACCCACCCTGCCAAATTTGCCTTGTGGGAGGAAACCGGAGCAAAATATAAAATTCAATTCCTTTGAAAACACCTAAATTGCAATCCATAAAATTTTAAATTTTTTCTTAAATCGCCTAAAATCGCATTAAATCGCAGTGCTTGAAAGTCCCAGTTTTTCCTAAAATCGCCCAAAATCGCATTATATCGCAGCGATTTAAGGCGATTTACCGCCCCAGAGTAGGCCTAGAGAAAATTAACTCTCTTTCGTTTGGCGCCGAAATATAAACCAGGTTTAAACCGACCTTGTATTTTGCAGGTTCTTATCTTCGGTTCAGTGCATGTTATGTAGCAAATCCAATTGGAGCAAAGTCAAATTGAACATGTTCAAGGATTAAAGCATACTGGCCGAAACAAATTCATTTGAATTGAACTACGTTCACATGATGTATTTTTGAAAGAAGCCTCGCTTCTTTGACTAAAGATTCGGTCTCCCCTCAGTCATGGCTGGAGTCTACCAGCTTCTTGACAACGAATGCTCTATCGTTCTCGGGCAACTTTGTTGTAAAGACAGTTGTTCGGTAATTAAAGAGAAACGTATTTCCGTCTGCCATGATTATTGCAAAATTGTAATTTTAGAACTTTTATCTCGCAGTTGCAATTTGCGTTTGCGTAAAAGTAGCCCATACGGCAATTGTCATATCTTAACGAGAATTTTAGGTATATTTAAATCGATAACTGCATTGAAAAGCCCTAGCAAAATAGCACCTTACATTGGCATAAAATTACATTACTACATGCCCAGATAACGGAGAAATTTAAGCATGAAAGTTGCAGTTGTAATTTGCGTTTGCACTGTAAAAACTGATAGGTTAAAATAACCAAAAAAAATAGGTTATTTGGTTTGGTCTAGGACAACCCGATAAATATAGGTTATTTCAATAGGTTAAAAGAACCGAAAATAAATAGGTTAAAACAAACCATTAAAAATGGGTTGGTTTTTTTAAAACCCATAAGAAATAGGTTGTTTTAATAGGTTAAAACAACTAAAATTAATAGGTTAAAGCAAACCATTGCAAATGGTTACTTTAACCTATAAATCCGTAATACGTAATTTTAACCTATTAATTATTGGTTGATTGAACTAAAGATTTATGGTTATTTTGACAAATAAAAAAGTAATTCCAACCTATATTCAAAAGTTAAAATGACTAAAATTTAAATGTCAAATTTAGCATATTTCAACCAAATAAATATAGGTTGTTTTAACTATAATACAAATGGTACGGATATTCACCAATAATATTTTCGTTGATTTGGCCAATTTTTTTAGTTATAACAACCAGTAAATAACGGTCAAGGTGGGAGTACAAAACAACGCGCACTTTCGTTGGTTAAATGATGTTGCGTCAACTAAATAAGATAAGCTAAAACTAAATAGGGCAATAATTCGTCAGGCAATTAATCATCCAAGTGCGCTATATATAATCAAACAATATTATGAACTTTATATAAAAATATATTTTGTAACATCTAAAACTACAGTAAGTACAGTGTAGTACGTATAGTTTTACTATAGTCTGTGTTCCAGTTGACTACACTGTTACTGACACATAGGCTAGAGAGTTGCATGGTATACGCCCGTATTCTAAAAGCTCACTCATGCACGCTCACACTCAATGAGTGGAGGTTCAGTCTGAGCTTCTCTTGGGTGTCAATGCTGTTTTTGAATAGCTGGAGGATGAGTGGTCGCATAGTAAGGTACGACACTAACCCTTCAGCTAATTTAAAAACAGCACTGACACTCAAGAGAAGCTCAAGATTGATCCTCCAATCATTGAGTGTTAGTGAGCTTTTAGAATACGGGCGATAGTCAAGTATTATATATTATAATGAAAGCAATGCTAAGCACTTAGCTTAGCATTAATTAGATCGCGATCACCATGCAACCCTGTTTGTGCAGTCTCAAACTCTCATTATGTTACATCAATCGATCGCCATATAATCTTAGTTTTAGCTTGTGTTCTATAGTCCACTACACTCTTGGTGACAGTTGGTGTTCTTCACA